TTTATGTGTTTTGTAATATATATTTTTAGCTTTATGCATGTTAGAAAACATAGAGATACTTAGGTGTGCAATTTATGTTAATATGTGATTTTTGATATGATTAAAGTATTAAATCAACGAGTCTCCTATTTATTAGAGACGGACGATGATTTTAATATGTTTAACTTCTCAAAATTTATTTGAGATGATTTTAGTTAATTAAAATTTTAGAATTTTTTTTTAATTTCATAATTAGTTTAGATAATTAAAGGATAGGTAATCGGTGAGTCTCCGAATTTTTAGTGGATCGATGATGATTCTCTATCGATAACAAAAAAGAATATCTAAAATTTTTGGCGAAGTATCCTACTTGGTAAGGACTCGAAGCCACCAAAAATATCAAAATATATATATATAAAATAATTTCGACGAAGAATCTTATCCGATAGGGACCGATGTCACCCAAAAATTATTTTTTAATCGGGATGCCCTCCAACACACCGGTTGTGTCAAGGCTTAAACTCGGATCCGATGTTTGAATTGACATATCGCTCGACGAAGGGGACCGACGATCGTTTTAATACGATGTCACGTCCAAAACCAAAAAAATTAATTTACCTTTAAAAAAATGGAGTTTAAAAAATCGAAAAATATTTTTGCATAAATAAAACCTTGTAGGAGATGAACTTAGAACTAATCTAGACGTGATACCTTTCCTTGGAAATTATATTTTTGGGTGATCGATATCTTTCCAAAACGTAACTAACTCCTTACCCGAGAATCTCCGAACCAAGTGCTACTTCGAGGTTTCTAGTTCCTTAATACTATGTGACGAATCCGAACTTGGAAATAATTTTGTAAAATAACAATTAACACATAAATTATATTTTTGGAGAGTCACATCCGACGTCGGATAGCAACAATAATATATATATATATATATATATATATATATATATATATATATGTATGTATATATATATGTATGTATGTATGTATGTATGTATGTATGTATGTATGTATTGTCGCTATCCGAAGTCTATATATATTTCCCACGTCCTCTTTGTATGTCTCGCATCAGATTCTCAATTCAATCATTTTAGACATACCATGGCAGGGAAGGTGTGCGCTTGGATGGATATGGAACTCATCATATATTTGTTTTAATTTATTTATTTTTCAATTCTGCCCATTTGGTTGTTCTACGGGTTTAATGATCCTTAAGTTCTTCTATGTATGTACCATATATATATTATTGCTGCAGATCACAACAATGGTGATCAAGGTTGACCTTGAATGTGAGAAATGCCACAAGAAAATCAAGAAAGTACTGTCTAAAGTCCCTGGTGAGTTTCTGATTCTTTCTAGCTCCATTAAAACATTGTAAGTTTGAGTTGTTTTTTGTTACCAAAGGAAAGTGACTAAGTTTTGTGGATTTGATGTTGTTTCTGAACAAGAGAAATTGAGAATCAGATACACGACAAGAGAGCAAGCACAGTGACAATCACTGTGGTAGGTTGCAGTAATGAAAAGATCAAGAAAATGATGTGGTGCAAAGGAGGAGAAGCTGTCAAGGGCATTGCGATCAGACAAAAGAGAAGCTTAAAGCACCAGATCAGACAAAAGAACCAGAAAAAACAAAAGGGGTTGCCGATAAACCTCCAGAAACCAAAACATTTGAACCGTCTCCAAAACTAATTCCACAACCGGATCTGGGGTGCCCACCATTATCGGACCACCCAAGAACATGTTGTGGTGAATGCTATCCACGGTTTGGTGGAGGTCCATGTTATCATGGCTATGGTAGGCCAACGCCCCAATGTTATGTTCATTATGGAAGGCCACTGTATGATATCTGGGCTTCTAGTTGCCGAAGCAAGGGTTACTATGTGTGTAGATGCGAATATGTTGGTGAAAATAATCCCTCATCATGCACAATCATGTGAAGAGAAAGTTTAGAATACTTAAGATTTAAGCCGATAATATCCAATATCAAAGACTATACTATATTCAAAGAATACTATTAGGGTTCCTTCGAATTCAACTATTCCAGTAGTCCTGATGGACCTTACAAGTAATATTCTGTAGATGATCAAAGCATGGACATTGTAGTATGGATCATCATGAGGCAAAAAATCAATGGATGTCCCTATACTATACTACATATATGCATATGGCAAATTAATTATTCTACAGTAAATTTGATCTACTCAACCTTTATTCTAAAAGAATGTAGTCTATCGATAAAAAAAAATTACTTTAATTGGACTAAAATTAAGATTTAATACATTTTGTCTATGAATAATTAATTATAATTATTTTTTAACAATACCAAACCTTATCAGTAATACGTCGGTCAAAGATTAAATATATTCGACGTTGGCTTAATTCTATAAGTGATAAACTTAATCTTAATTGATGCAAAAAATGACATAAAAATATTCTATCATCAATTAATATAGAAAAAAAAAACCTTTATATATATTTCTATTTTAGTATACATAAATTCTTCTGTCAATCAATTATGTTAGACTGGCCAAAATTCATTGGCAGAACATTTCATGATCTTGATCGTGCCATGTATTACTCATCAATGCAAGGTAATGTGGCTTTTTTTTCTTTTTCTTTTTTAAGTATGATATCCAAAGAAACAAAGTCTTTAAAATTAAATCATGAAAAAAAAAAGCAAAACTTTCCATTTTCCATTAATCATTGCTATTTCTATGGTGACAATGCATCTCCTTTTCTTTTGCTTTCTTTAATGTTTATTGTAACTGATTCCTTTCGTTTTGTATTCTTACCGAATCAAGCTTTGCTAGCAAAATGGTGCTTGGTCCAAACTAGATAATGGAATAAACGGTAAATAACTTTTTTTATCTCGTCATTGAATTCATCATTTCAGATAAATTTAGGCCGTAATCTTTAATTTTTTATTTTTAAATATATTAAAATAATACTCAATGTATTTTGAATTAATTTAATAACTTAAATCTAACGAAGTGATAAATATAAAACAAAGGTGTCCAAGTGACTGATATACATGAGAAACAAAAGAGATAATTTGACGGTTCATTAGTAACTTTCAAAAAATGTTCTAACATGGGGAAAAGGGACACGTCCTAAGTTTTCGGCCTTTTCTTTAAACTCAGTGGAGCCAGCCAACCTAGACTGAAAATTGAATAATTAATTGAACTTGTAGACTTGCTTCAGCTTCCACAACTAGGAGCCCACAATTTTTTTTTTTTTTTTTTTAATCTTTTCTCCTCTCTGTCCACACATAGCAATAGGCAAATAGCCTCGATCTCATAGGTCTCAAAATGTTGGGACCATTAAACTACGGCCTCATATTTCTCCCACTTAAGATGTAACCACCCCGGTGCCCCCACAGCCGCCTGAGGATTATGATTTAGCTTGGTGCTATTGTTAGTCCTACGTGACCCGATAGAAATTGGGTGTATGGTTTTATATACCATAAAGTAATGAGCTGCATAAATATCAGTTCAATATAAAGAAAACGAATCAAATAAAAGAATAAATTAAAAAAATAAAAACAATCATACCATATAAAAATTTATTTGATTCAATAATTATGCATGCTCTATTATTGCATTAAAATTTTTTATTAGGTTTTATCAAGTGACGTCTATAAATATAAACGATGTTTTCTTTATTTGAAGCGTGGACAACTAAAATTATAAGAAAAAAATCTAATGAGCCTATACACCTAGATCAATATTTTGTAAATTTTTCGAGAGCGTCCACAAGGGGCGTTATCCCAATATTCTATAGTGTCTGATACTACAAGCTCTCATTCACATCAATATCCATAACATAACAATAAGGTCATAACGAATGATCTAGCACAATACAAGAATATAAATCATAAGGTCATAACAAATGATTTGACCAAACACAAGACATGCAGAAAATCCTCCACACTCGAACAACCATGATCAGATAACCTCACAAGACTCCAAGACAAAGATACGTCACCATTGCATGATCAACCAATAAAAAGGTTAATCCAACTATTCATACAATTAAGGATTTATAACTTCATCACCAAAGACATCTTGTTCGACAATGAAGAGTGTACATATTTTAAATATTTTAGGCACATCCTCTTCAAGCTCTTTATTTATTAGGGTGCAAATCAATGGATGTATGGATGAATGGCTTGAATAATTTATGGATGCAACGGTTGATCAAAGATTAGTTGCATTTAAAAAACAAAATGTAGAACTAATTGCTCATGAATGACAATGCACTACAAAAAAAACAACTATATAGTGACAGATATTTTCGTCGTCATACTCAAAATTTTTGTCGCTGCATAGCTTAGCAATGATTTGGTTCCGTCGCTAAAACAACGAAAATAATCCCTCGTCTTGCATAATCAGGTAAAGGAAAAAAACAAAAAAAAGAAAGAAAGTCATTAGGGCATGCTTTTTACGCATATGTTCTTTCATTAGGAGTCACCTACCCGTATTGACGCTCTTCCGAAGTGTGCAAGTTTCTAATTTGAAGCTATATGTAAAATTGTAACTCCCCAAACTTTATTTTGATTATCTATGTTTTGTAGCTTTATCTATCCCTTAAATAAATAAATAAAAGTCATTATGTTTATGGAAATAATCTCTCGCCATTTCCCAATATCACTAGATTTGAAGAATATTAATGCACAAGAAAGGCGATGATTGCAAGCAATTGAAATTCGGAAGGACCAAAGTGAAATCTCGAAATAAAAACCAGGACCGATCCAGGTTGATTTCTTCTGCAAACCCGTTCCTGCACACAACATTTAATGGTGTTCGATTCTATGTTCCACTCCCCCGTCAATGTGATGTCGATTTTTGGCTTATAAATAGGAGGAAGAAAAATGATTTTGGGGACTGAGGGAGAGTGAAAAGCCACAAAAAGAGCCACAATTCTGCTCCCTAATCGGGAAAAAAAAAGAAGAGAAAATGTAGTCTTTGCAAAATAAAAGGTTGGGGGAGCCATCTCCACAGCCATGTCTATAGCTACACCCACACAAAACCACCCACTATCATCATCTCTACCAAAACTCCCCCTCCATTACCGAGTCTCCCTTTGACAACCACAGACCTGGACTCAGTCTCTCCAAAAATCCACCTTGCTAAACTCAGTAGGCACACCTCAGAGATCCATCGTTCTTTTCCCCCAAAACAGCTATCATGGGAATAACAGAACCATGGCCAACCTTCTCATCCAGCCCCAAGCTCTCACAGCTCCTCTCACACAACACCCCTCTGCAATCCATCTCAAACAGCAGCCCTAAATTTCCATGAACTCGTCCTCACCAAAAATAACAAACTCATCCTCTCACAAGCCACAACTCAAACACTTGGTGGGCATATCTCCTTAAAACCCCACCATTATCATCTTCCCTTCTCACAACCACATTACCCATGAGTAATGTATTCTGCTCCACATCATCCTCACCTAAACCACACTCACACTCCCTCTCACCCACTGCCATTCAACGCCAAACCCCTCTGCCTGTAATCCCTCCTCCATCGCCAACACCATAAACACTCTCTCAACCGAAACCCAACACAAAAGGAAGTCGTTTGTTTACAAGTAGAAATCAGAGAGGAAGTTTTGAGTCATGTCGAGATAGATGGGCAGAGAAGAAAGCGAGGGGCTTGTGTGATTTCAGTGGAGTCTCAGAAAACGGAAAGAAGTAGAGAATGGGGGAGAAGATAGAAGGTATAAAGCTTTTATTCTTTGTTTAATTTGGGGCTGGTTTAATTTGATAGAAGGATTGGGGTTTGGCTTTGTTAAAAAAAAAAAAAAATGAAAAGGGCTGAGCCAAGCCCAGCCCGTGGGGGGTTAGCGTGGCCAAATGAGCCCAGCCGTCATGGCTCAAAGCTTGGGCTGGTTTCATCCCAGCCCAAGCCCCAGTAAAAAAAAAAAAAAGAAGGAAAAGAAAAGGAGATGGGCCTAGCCAATGGGCCCATGGCCCATAAAAAAGAAGCCCAATTTTTTTGTTTTAATTTTATTTTTTGTTTTAATTGTATTTTATTTAGTTATTTTTGTTTTAGATAATTCGTTTCAAATTTTACTTATGCATGTTTATTTTCTCGTCTAATTTAGGTTTTAATATTCAACCTTTCATGGAATTTATTTTAGTTAATTTTAATTTTAGGCTTTTAATTTCATAATTAATTTAAATAATTCAATGATAGATGAATTGTTGAGCCTCCTAATATTTAGGGACTAATGACGATTATACATCGTTAAACACCAAAATAAATAAATAAAATGATTAAAAAAAAAAGGGAATGCTAATAGTTTAACTTTAGGATGTTGTTTCAAAATTAGTCTATTAATCGGTAGGTAGGTGAATTGTTGAGTCTCTTAAATTCTTAAGGACTAATGACGATTTCTCTCGAAATGTTAATAATTAGTTTAAATAACTAAAAGATAAGTGATTTGTCGAGTCTCTTAATTTCTTAGGGATCGATGACAATTTTTTCTAAAATGTTAATAATTAGGTTAATGGTTAATAAATAGGTGAAGTGTCAAGTTTTCTAAATTCGAGGGATCGATGACGATTCCCCACCAAATCATAAGTCACCGACATTTAAATTGGCTCCAAAATTGGAGTTCAAATTGAAAATAAATTTGGCACAAATAAAACACTTTAGGATATGAATTTAAGATTAAACTAGACATAGTACCTTTCTTCGAAATGGCGCTTTTGGGTGACTAAAAATCCTCCTAAAAATGTAACTAACTCCTTACCATATAATCTCTAAACCAGCTTGCTCATTTAAGGTTCTTAGTTCCTTCAATACTAGGTAGCGACTTCAAACTCATAATAACTCGTAAATAAAACCATAAAATCTAGACCATTAGATTTTTGTTTCAAGAGTTCCATTCGACGTCGGATAGCGACAAATCTCATCATTGAATTCAACAATTTAGGTAAATTTGATAAGTAATCTTAAACAAGGATTTAAATTGCTTTCATTTTTAAATTTAAAATAATACTCAATTAATTTTAAGTCAATTAATGATTTAAATTTAATGAAGGGATAAATATAAAAAAATATGTCAAAGTAACTCGTTATATGTGAGAAACGAAAATGAGTTTAGCACGGTTCTTATCATTTAAAAAATGTGCTCTTTTTTTTTTGTTTTTGTTTAACGATAAGGGTATAGTCGGGCCAACTTCCATGCAACTCAAACCTAATCCCTCTTTAAACGTAGCCAAAAGGCACTCCCTAATGCATGATCTCTAGTATTTTGAGAATAAATTCTCGGGAGTATTGATTACGAGGATCGAACTCTAGACTCGATCTATAAGTTAATACTTACTTACCCATGAGGTACTACCTTGTGGTTAAAAAAAAAAGTGCTTTTCAAATATAGGGAAAGGGACATGGCATATTGAATGCACTCATGTCATTTCACCAAAAATCTTACAAAAATTTCCTTTGGAGTCCCATTATATTATATTTAAAATGTCCTTAATTATTATCTAGAAAAAACAATAATTAATTTATTTAAAAAAATTAGAGAAAAAAGAGTAAAAATGGAAACTTAAAGCAAAATCTAATTAAATTAAATAGTAAAACTAATATTGTTTATATACAAAGAAAAGCCATGTTCCATTTTTTTATATTTATATATTTTTATCTAATTTTTATAAATTCTCAATTTAATTAATTTTTTGAATAATAATTAAGGACATTAATTTTGTGTATAATAGGAATTTAAAAAAGATTTATGTTATATTTTTTAAAAGTGAAAAGATTATTTTTGTCATATGTTGAAACGTTTGGATAGTCTATATAATCCCACAACATCTCAATGGTCCCTCTAATGAAATCATTAATAGAAATTGAAGAGGTTATGGCCATGTTCATTGACTTGGAATTTCTATTGTTCCAAGATAGGCTAGGAGTTGGACAATTAGGGCATCCCATTGAATTATCATGAAAAACTTCGGATAAACAATTTTTGAACTTTTCTCCTTTCTCATTAGGGTTTACCTCGTATTTAGTCTTTGTGCGAGTTTTAATTTTTTTGATTGAGATTCTTTATAATTTTTCAACTAGATTGAAGCCCTTTGCTCTTACAAATTTATTGATTCGGACCCTCCGTTAAATATGCAACTCGACATGGCATGTTAAAAATGAAGGTAGCCAATCAAGCACAAACACGTGAGAATGTGGGCCCCAAATGTGAGATTATAAGTTTGAAACTACAAAACATTAAATTTAAAAAGATTTATAATATTAAACTAATTTTAGTGTTTTAAAATGAAAAGCATAAAAAAAAAAAAGCCCTCGACCTCATAATACCAACCAAATCTTAGCGACCACCTCCTCTTCACCACAAACTACCACCATCATAGCTTGTCGACCACTAGCCGCCCATCACCATCACAACCCGCAGCGAGGCTTTGCCTCTTCTTACGAATCCCACACCAATCTTTAACCTCGCCTCCCAATCTAGGTTTTACTTTTTCTTGCTATTCACTCGGTTGTTGATGTAGCCAATTCCACAAACTCCTATTATTAAAACCCGCATCTTTTTTGCTACCGAATTGGTTATGCCCACATTAGAGACAACTTCAAGACAAGCCCCCGAATTGGTTATGCCCATGACTTGTATTAGAGAATGCTTTAATGGCATTGGTAGCACAATCGATATGCTATTTCAAGTGTTTTCATAGAGGAACTATCTAACGTAAAGCAAGTGACGAGCCACATGAATTTCCCACAATGAGAAGTACGACCTTGATCCAATTGAACTCAAAAGCGTAAGTCGTGGGCTTTCGGGAGCCCTAACACGAGCATCACCTATCCCTTTTTTCAAGGATTTTTAGCTCCTCTAGCCGAGCCGATCCGATTTCGGAAGAATGCGTTCGAGAACAAGAACACGTGCACCGAGAATTCCTTTTAAGAGCTTTATCTTTGATCTTGGAAGAATGCTTTCGAGAAATTCTCTCTTGTGTTTAAAGAAGAGAGCTAGTCCAAGTGCGAGTAGAGCAATGGCAACTAAGGTTGTACTTTTGAGATTTCCAACACCGATGACTCACTTAGGCCCGACCAATCACTTGACAAGGCTACGGATTTTCTAGGGTTAGGGATGATGGGGTGGATGGTGGCTATAGGGTTTTAGGAATTTGGGGGTTTGGATTTTTAGCAAGAGAGAAAAGAAGAATAGGGTGAGGGCAATGTGGTATTTTCAAAACATTTATAAATATTAAGTATTAGTTTAATAATAAAAATTTTTTTAACTTTCTTTTTATTTTTTTGATTCGAGATATCGGTAATTGGGACCCACATCAACATGTGTTTATGCATGATTGGTTATCATTAGTTTTAACTTGTCATATAGGATAAATATTTAACGGTGTTATAATAGCGGATCCGAATTAACAAATTTATAAAAGTAAAAGATTTTAATCAAGCTGAAAAATCATAAAGGGTCTCAAGAAATTGTACAGAGACCAAATATGAGATAAACCCTTTTCAAATTAACATACACGATTTTTACGAAAAAACCATTAGAAACATCTCTTTATTTTTATAAATTCCTCAAATTAATTAACTCTTGTAAAAAAATTTTGATAAAAAATTACGTTGTATATGCAAAATTTAGTCAATTCAACTAAATTAGACAATAAATCAAATAAATATTCCCTCAATCTCAATTTATTTGTCCATCATTAAAATTCTAAATTCTCAATACTATTCCTACTTTTAATGATGGAAGAGTTCATATATTTTAAGAGACAGATGTAATTAATCAAATGATTGAGAATAATGTCAAAAAAATCATGTTTCTTCACATACTCAATTTGACAAATAGACAAACATCTTGTGACATTACCAAATAAAAAGTTGTACGACAAAAAAAATTATAAATTTATTTTTAGATAATCTTAATAGTTTATTCTTAATGCTATTACTGAAAATAAAACTCAGAAAGTCAAAAGGTCTAGACAAAGCTTGTTCACCTAACTTTGTGGCTAACCTCAGTATTGATTGACAAAATAGAAGGTGATAATCAAAGCCAGGACATGCACATGAAAGATCGAAGGCCCAGCAATAAAAAATGAAAATACAATGACGATATTGATGATGATGATGATTACATAACATTCATGGCCAAAATTCTACTTTTCCACATCTTTCCATTTCTCAAACAATATATATATATATATATATTTCCCTCGTCCTCTTTGTCTGTGTCACAGTAGATTCTCAATTCAATCATTAATTTTATGCGAAACATGGCAGAGAAGGTATGTGCTTGGATGGATATGGAGCCCATCATATATTTGTTTTAATTTATTTTTAAACTCAGCCCAGTCGGTTGTTCTACCGGTTTAATGATCCTTAAGTTCTTGCATATATGTATGTGCTATATATATATTATTATTGCAGCAGGTCACAACAATGGTGATCAAGGTTGACCTTGAATGTGAGAAATGCCACAAGAAAATCAAGAAAGTACTGTGTAAAATCCCTCGTGAGTTTCTGATTCTTTCTAGCTCCATTAAAACATTGTAAGTTTTGAGTTGTTTTTTGTTACCAAGGGAAAGTGACTAAGTTTTGTGGATTTGATGTTGTTTCTGAACAAGAGAAATTCAGAATCAGATATATGACAAGAAGGCAAACACAGTGACAATCACTGTGGTATGTTGCAGTCCTGAAAAGATCAAGAAAAAGATATGCTGCAAAGGAGGTGAAGCTGTCAAAGGCATTGAGATCAAGGTGCCAAAACCGAATCCTGTTCCTGTTCCTGCTGCACCTGTTCCGGCTCCGAAACCAGATCCAAAACCTAATCCTGTTCCTGCTCCACCAGCTCCTAAACCGGTTGCAGGGTTCCCACCAGTACCGGACCACCCAAGGACATGCTGTAGTGAATGCTATCAAGGATTCGGTGGAGGTCCATGTTATCATGGCTATGGTAGGCCAACACCCCAATGTTATGAACCTTATGGAAGGCCAGTGTATGATAGCTGGGGTTGTAGTTGCCGAAGCAGGGGTTACTATGTGTGTAGATGTGAATATGTTTGTGAAAATGATCCCTCATCATGCACAATCATGTGAAGGGAAAGTTAAGAATACCGAAAGATTTAAGTCAATATCCAATATGAAAGACTATACTATATTCAAAGAATACCATTTAGGGTTCCCTTGAATTCAACTATTCCAGTAGTCCAGATGGACCTTATAAGTAATATTCTGTAGATGATCAAAGCATGGGCATTCTAGTATGGATCATCGTGAGGCAAAAAATCAATGGATGTCCAGTGTCCCTATACTATACCATATGCATATGGCAAATTAATTATTCTACAGTAAATTTGATCTACTCAACCTCTATACTTTTAGAATATACTCTATCGATAAAAAAAAATTACTTTGATTAGACTAAAATTACGATTCAATATCGATTGTTCATGAATAACTAACTATAATTATTTTTTAACAAGTACTAGACCCGAACCGATTTAATCCAAGAGACAACTAATCGATAGGCGATCAAGAACTAAACGTGTTCTAGCGTTAGCTTAATTCGGAAAGTGATGAACTTAATCTTAATTGATGTAAAAATTGATCCAAAAATACTCCACTATCACACAAGCAAGCTTAGACATCTAGCGGTTGTCTACCCAACTAGCTTTCCTAACGAAGCAAGGTTTGAGTATTGATAATTTTAATTTTTTTTTATGATTATTTAATGAGGAGGACTATCTTATTGTGTAGTCCAATAGATCCATTGGGCCTTCGATAAATAAAAAAAATTACTCCATTGCCACTCAGTAAATATACAAAAAAAAAAAAAAAACCTTCTATATTTCTATTTTATATACACAAATCCTTTTGTCAATCAATTCTGTTAGACTGACCAAAATTCATTAGCAAAACATTTCATGATCTTGATCATGCCATGTATTACTCATCAATGCAAGGTAATGTGGCCTTTTTTTTTTTTTTTTTTAAGTAGGATATCCAAAGAAACAAAGTCTTTAAGATTAAATTAAAAAAAAAAAAAAGCACAGCTTTCCATTAATCATTGCTATTTCTATGGTGATAATGCATCTCCTTTTCTTTCACGTTCTATTTGCTTTCTTTAATGTTTGATGGTAACCTCTCGTTTTGTACTCTTACCTAATCATGCTTTGCTATTTCATGATCTCGTTATGGCACCTTGGTCCAAGCTAGATAATGGAATAACGTTGAAGAATTTTTTTTTTATCTCATCATTGAATTCATCATTTCACTTAAATTTGGTACGTAATCTTTCATTTTTTATTTTTATTTTTAAATTTATTAAAATAATACCCAATTTATTTTGAATTAATTTAATAACTTAAATTTAACGAAGAGAAAAATGTATATAAAAAAAAATTGTGTCCAAGTAACTGGTATATATGAGAAACGAAAGAGATAATTTGAAAGTTCTTACGTACCTTTCAAAAAATGTGCTTGCGTAACATGGGGAACAGGGTCATGGCAATGGATGCACATGTGCTTTCACCAAAAGACGAAGAAATTTTGCACCTTTCCTTTAAATTCAGTGGAGCCAGCCAACAAGTTTGGCACTCAAGAACAACTTCTGGAGCCCACATTATAATTATTATTATTATTATTATTACTACTTTTCTGCTTTCTGTTTACACATAATCTATTGGAGTACAATCATGATGGATGGAATTAAATTATGATAGTTGCATCAAATTCCACGTGCCCTCAATCTTATTTGTCTCGAAGTGTAGGGGCAATTAAACTGCGGTCCTATACTTCTCCCACTTAAGATGTAACCATCTCTATGTCCACGCACCTGCCTGACGATTATCAGGATTAGCTTTATGCTACTGTTACTTCTGATGGAACTGATAGAAATTACGTGTATGATTTGCCAATTTAAATACCATAAAGTAATGGGGCCGTCTAAATATTAGTTCAATATAAGTAATACGTTAAAAAACGAATTAAATAAAAAAATAAATTAGAAAGACAAAACAATCACATAAAATAAAAATTTATATAGTTCTGCAATTGTGCTGCTCTACGGTTGCAATAAAAAATTTTATTAGATTTTATCAAGGGACAACTATAAATATAAATTATGTTTTCTCTATTTATAGTACGAACAATTAGAATTATAAGAAAAAATATCTAATGGCTTATACACTCGACTAAATATTTTGTGAGCCTCCAAACTCTAGTAAGGGGTGCTGCCCCAATATTCTGTAGCACCTTATACTGCGAGCTCTCATTCGTATCGGTCTCCACAACTTAATAATAAAATCATAATGAATGATCTAACCCAACATAAGAATACAAATCATAAGATCATAACGAACAATTTGACCCAACATAAGACATATAGAAATCCTCCATGCTCAAACAACCATGATCGGACAACCTCACGATTGTTGTGTTTCATCGGCAAGAGCACAAGGCTCGAGAAAAACACTTCTCCTCACACATTAGAAGAAACCTCAACAATGACGATTATGATTAAACCTTAGTTAGTCTCATTAGAGGGACATGTCTATGTTAATGACAAATTTTCTTACAAATAAGTGGTTAGAGACAATCACAAGAGGTTCTGCTTCTCTACTCATTTGATAAAAGAACACAATCATTGTATATTTTTCTCTATACACATAGAAAATAATTCATCACAAACCTACTTAAGTAATATACACTAAAAATATACTACTAAGCCTAAAAAGGTTAAAATAGCCTCTCTTTGCATGCTAACTTAGTTATTAGAAGGTCTTCTAAAATCCAAGAGAAAGACCTTGTTTTGCAAATATTTAATCTAGGACTCCAAGACAAAGATAGGTCACCATCGCACAATCAACTAAGAAAAAGGTTAATCCTACTATCCATACAATTAAGGATCTACAACTTCATCACTAGTGACATCTCGTTTGATCGAGAACAGTGTACATATTTTAAATATTTTAGGTACATCCTCACCAAGTTCCTCATTTATTAGGGTGCAAATCAATGAATCTATGGATGAATGGCTTGAATAATTTATGGATGCAATGATCGATTAAAGATTAGTTGTGTTTAAAAATTAAAATGTAGAACTAATTGCTCATGAATGACAATGCACTATATTAAATAAATAAATAACGAGTGGATATTTTTGTCGCTATACCCAAAACTTTTGTCTCTATATTGGCTTAGTGGCAATTTGGTTTTCGCCGTTAAAGTGCTTGTCTCGAAATTATTTAGTGATAGGTTTTATAATCCATCACAAATAAAAGATGGTTTGGTTGTCGTTATTTCGTTGCAAACAGTCGTGTATATAGCAAGGATAAAATCCATCACCAAACCATTAGTGAGTAGTTTTATTTCCGTCGCCATATAGAGACCGATGCTTGTCACTAAAATTTTGTCGCCAATGACTATCTCCAATTCATCCTTGTTTTAGCGATTTTTTTTTTTTTTGTCGCTAATTTCCATCCCCGAGAGTTTAATTTAAATTTTTTTGTTGTTGTTAGGTGATCGCTTATCCTTCGCTAAATTAAGGATTTTTTTTTTTTAATTTTGTTAATACGTGCCTAAATGTTATATCTTAGTAGCCAATAACTAAAATTAAAATTATAACAATAATATTATTGAATAAAAATAAAATAATATAAAATCAAATCAAATATATATATATATATATATATATATATATATATATATATATATATATATATATAATTTGATGTACAAAAACATTAAAAAAATAATTAAAAAAAAAAACTAGTCCTCAACATCATCATTTCCTGCATCATGTTTTGACGGTGGGTATCGGGAGGAAATGCTGACTCCTGGGTAGGAGGAGGGGGAGGGTTAAAAGGAGGGAGGCAACTCCTGGGTGATTCCTCTAAGAATTGCTCCATCTTCTGCATCTGCTCTCAAAAATCCTAATGTTTTGCTCTGTATTTGTTCTCCACCTTCTGGATTTGCTAAGTATTATCATATTGTACGTCCTCTAGCTTTTATTGGTATTGTTTATTATCTTGCTGCATACAAGCAAGAAAACATATTTTGCTAGAGAATGAGCTGACGTTAGGATGTGAGTAATATTGGAATATTTGTGATTTAAAGCGGTACACTTTATCCTTTTTCTCCCTTCCTTCAATCTTAAGATATATCCATGACGTGTCGAGGTTTGAAGAAAATGAATCAACCGTAAGATAGACCTGAAAGAAATTTTGTGTATAATTTGTCAGTGAGATGTGGTTGGAAGGGAGTCGGTGCTAGCCATGTAAAATTTATTGAACATGACCAAAAACTAATGTACCTTCAGATAGATATGATACAAACTGTGTTTTTTATTTTATTTCTTATCTCAAACCATTTTGTATGTTAAAAGAAACTAATTTTTATTAACAATTTTAAAAATATTTTTTTCATATTAATTTGATAAATTAAAAAGTAAAATTTTAAAATTTATTAACATCGAGATTCCAATTAAAAAAACTTAAAAAATAAAAATGGTAAGGTCTACTCGTGAGGTCAACCTTTGTATTGATCAACAAAATATAAAAGGTGAGATGGGTCCATCAAAGCTAGCAAATGCAAAGAAAAGATTGAAGGGTCAGCAATCAAAAAAATTAATGCAAAATGCAAGGACATCTCAATCCTCACAACTTACTTTGTTAGTCCCAATATGTACGGACAACCAACATATGGCCTCTCGTTCCTCCTATTTAAGATGCAACCAATCTCATAGCTTTTCTCTTAAAAGACTCTGTTGTTGGTTGAAAGAATACAGTTAATTTATAAGATTATTTTTCACATCCCCCTTCTTTCTTTTTTCTCTTTTTTATTTGGCATCATTCTCAATTTCATCATTTCATCGGTTCGGATCAAAGCATACACAAAATCATGGTAGAAAAGGCATGCTATATTTGCTTTAATTTACATCTTACTTCAACTTCTTTTGTTTGATTTTTTTCTGTTTATGTGGTGGATTTTTTCTTTGGCCCTACGTCCATGTTCATGATGCTCTACAGTGTATATTCTTACGGAACTTTTTTTTTTAAGATCTTCCGATTGTTCTTTCTATAAATTAATCATAGCATTTCTTTGTTTTCTATTGGGATTGATCATGATGAGGTCTTACATATGTGTGTACTAACTAGTTTTGATGTTACAGCAAGTCACAACAATGGTGATTGAGGTTGACCTTGGATGTGAGAAATGCCACAAGAAGATCAAGAAAGTACTGTGTAAAATCCCTCGTGAGTTTCTCTCAATTTTCTCCATGAAAATAGCATAAGTTTGAGCTATCTTTTTACCAAAGGAAAGTGACTAAGTTTTTATGATGTTTCTGAACAAGAGAAATTCAGAATCAGATATATGACAAGAAGGCAAACACGGTGACAATCACTGTGGTATGTTGCAGTCCTGAAAAGATCAAGAAAAAGATATGCTGCGAAGGAGGTGAAGCTGTCAAAGGCATTGAGATCAAGGTGCCTGAAAAGAAAAAACCAGAAGAGCAGCCAGATCCAAAACGTAAACCTGATCGTGATCCTGATCCTGTTCCTGCTCCACTACCTTCTAAACCCGTTACAGGGTTACTGCTAGTACCGGACCACCCAAGGACATGTTGTAGTGAATGCTATCATGGGTTTGGTGGAGGTCCATGTTATTATGGCTATGGTAGGCCAACACCCCAATGTTACGAACCTTATGGAAGGCCAGTGTACAATAGCTGGGGTGGTGGCAGTTGTAGTTGCCGAGGTAGGGGTTATTATGTGTGTAGATGTGAATATGTTTGTGAAAATAATCCCTCATCATGCACAATCATGTAAAGGGAAAGGAAAAGGGAAAGGGAAAGCTTGGAATACCTAAGATTTAAGCCATTATCCAATATGAGAGATTAATTATCCTAGATTCGAAGAACCATTAGGATTCCACTGGATTCAAATCCAGTACTTGTCTTAATGGATCTTAGTATTATGTCGATGGTCAAAGGCATTGTAGCAGGCATGGATCATTATGCAACTAAAAATAATGGATTCCCTCTATTATATGCATCAAATTAACCCTACTTTTCTAGTTTTTGATGTACAGAAATCCCTTTGTCGGTCAATTATATCTGGTTGATCAAAATCTGTTAATTGAATAATTTGATGATCTTGATCATACCACGTATCACTCATCAATGCAAAGGTTGCATTTTTCGTTATGAAAAAAAAATCTTTAAAGAATTTTAATGTTTTTATCAAAAAGAAATTAAAATGACTCAAGTAGTAAAATAAAGATCCAAAACCTCAGCTTTATAACGCTCAAGTAATCGATTCCTTTCTTCCAAAATAAGAAATCCCCATATCAATCTTAATCAATTTTCAAATGGAAACCTAACCAAGAAATACTTCTCGCTCACTCAAATCTCCAAATCAATCACTAAAAATGGACAAGAGGGGGTTCCAATTTTCTTTCCCCGTGGAAACAAGCGATAAGCAACTTGTTTCCTATGACGTCTTAAAGATTCTCTCTAGTATCCTAATGCAATTTTGTTAATTGAAAAGATATTTTACATTACATAAAATCTTATAAGTTATTTTACAAGATTTTTTGTGTAATATATAGAGATTTTATGTGATACAAAGATTAATTTTCGTGAGTTCTGTAACAATATTTTGTTAAAACGTAGATATGAAAATGAGTCGAATTCGGATCAAATCATATTAGATCCACATTTGATTTATTTAATAAATAGAGTGAATCGGATATTATAAATTTAAATTCCGTAATTATCGATACACATCTAGATCCTAATGGGTTCGGATTAGATTCAAATATCTATCGAATTTTTCATTTATTTTTTTTAAAAAAGTATTGGTCACATTCAAAATCATGTTTCAATGTAAAATGAGTTTCAAATATTATATGTATAACAAATATATAATATATCAATTTATTTTAAAAAAATCTAAATGTCACAGCATTAAAAAGAACAAAATTAAATAATCTGAATAAAAATTTATATTAAACGTCAAAATTAATTTCAGTTAAGAAAAAAGTATGAAAAAGTGAAAAAAAATACATCATCTAAGCACAACTTGATTGAAAAAATAGTTGTTAATGTAGAAAAAAAAAACTCCTTTTGGGTTGATATTTTGATGCTCGATAATCACGGTATCTTCAAGCCTATACAATAAAGAAAATCATGCAGTATGTAATTACATGACATCAAACTCCAATTTAGAAGAAAAATGTTTGGAACACTAAATGACTAGTGCAATAGAAGTCTTGCTTGAAAGTTGAAAAAAATTACATTTATTCATGAAAACGTGTATATATATATATATATATATATATAGAGAGAGAGAGAGAGAGAGAGAGAGAGAGAGAGAGAGAGAGAGAGAGAGAGAGAGAGAGAGAGAGAGAGAGTTTTAAATGAACTTGATATCTATAAGTTCTTCATCTATACATATAGTTTTTAAAAACTAATTTTTTATTTAATATAATTATGTATGATATTGTCACAATTTATGAAATCCAATTGACTTGAAATTTGATATATATATATATATATATATATATATATATATATATATATATATATATATATATCCGTGTGTGTGTGTGATTGTATTTAATGGTTAGTTAGGTCAAAATCAAAACAGAGAAAGAAAAAAAGTTATGTAACTATCTAATAATTTATGTAACTCATAGCAAATAAGTTCATTAAATATATAATGATTAAAGGATCGTAGATCAAACGTTTCTCAAACTTTTTTAGGATTTGAAGAAGGTTGAGACATGTAATTATTTAAAATAATAGTCATCGAAGTAAAAATAATAATAATAAAATATAGAAAATTTCATAAAATATTTATTTATCATTTAGAGTAAATACACTCTAAATCTATAAAGTTGAAAAGACATAAAGGATATGTATAATGAAGTGGAAAACCTTACCGAAAATGCAAGAGAATTTTACAATGAGATCTCCATAAAAGGCTTTAATCATAAACAATTTGCCCGGATGATGTTTCTTGACGACTATTTTATTCCTTAATTCATCAATTATGTCATGAGGAATTATAGAAATATAGAGATAAGTGATCAACAAGTTGTTGTTGTGTAACATGATTTGCTATTACTCGGATAACTATTTTTTTTTTCACTCGATCTTGCGCTAATTTATGGGCTTCGAGGTACATATGAAAATAATCATGGAATGAAACTTACACATGATTTTATTATTTTTCAAATTCCCCTATCAAAAAATCAACCATTTTGGGGATGAAGATTACTTTGGCTTGGAATATGGCTCCCGTTAATGTTGTTTGGATTATTGTACCATAAAAGCAAAAACTATACACCTTTTAATCTTTCTAACATGTTTTTCAAAAAATAGATGAAAAACACATGAACTATGCTTCTAATAACTATTTTAGCATGAGAGTCATTTTTTATTCAAGATTCCGAGTTTATCTTATGTGGCATGACATGTAAGATGACGCTATGGATAAAAGTTCATTTAAGATAACATGTGGATAGCAATTAGAATTTTAGATTGAAGGGATATCATGCCACCTACTAATTTAAAACCAATTCCTAAGACTAATTAACCTAATTCAATTCATAAAAACCAAATCCCTAATCTTCTTCTCTTCTTTGCTCGACGATGCAATATTGCAAAAAAATAATTACTCCTATAATTATGGCATTAATGAACTTAAATTAAATTTTATGAAATTGTAATTAATTAAAGTACTATCAAATAGCTAGTTGATTGATGTTATCTATTGACAAAAGTAAAACGAGGGTAGTGTAGATGTTATGAAGAATGACTCAATTCTTCCTTGATTATAAATAAGCAAGCAAGCCCCCTAAATTCTCTTCATTTCATTTTTATTAACAATCCCAAATCAATCGAGCTTTAAATTACATGCATGCCTAGATAGTACATAGCTACGCTACTACTCCTTCTTTATGTATACACCTTAATATTCTTGTCGTTAGAGAGCTAGTATTAATATCTTTAATAAGTCTTCAAAGAAGATGAGCATAGTATTCTATGACAACCATGTCCGCCAAACATTTAGGTGAAATCAGAATTGATCCATTGATCAACAACGAAGGAGTGATTCAAAACAACCAAACTCAAAAGAAAAAAATGAATGAAACAGATGCTAGGAAATAACTCGTTGTAAAATAGTAAGCGTTCTACATGGCTTAGCTCCATAATGAAAGAAGTTCAAGAGGTTAAAAAACAACCAACCTCTAGAACCAAAGATTCCAAAAGTTATGAATAAGTTGAAGATAAATAGAAACGAGGAATGCTACAATCCCCTACCGGTCTTAATCGGCCCTTATCATCACCAACATTGTTATAACAAGTTCAATGAGATGGAAATTTTGAAGGTTTTTCTTACTCGCCAATTCATTCTAGAAAAAGGTGTTGTTATTAAAGAAAAAGCTTTCTTTTTCTAGTTCCGTAGTCATTCATGAGGTTGAGGTATGAAAAGGATCGTGGAATGAAATTTATATTTGATTTTTTATTTTCCAAATTCTCCTACCAAAAGATCAACCATTGTGGGGTTGGAGTTACTTTAGCTTGGAATGTGGCTCATATTAACGCTACTTCTTCTATTATTTACACTTCCATCTTATATAATTGTAATATCTTTAAATTACCCATTATGATCTTGAATACACTCATAAAGCAATTTCTCTTCCATCGAGCTGGAAAATAATTGCCAAAATATTAACTTTCCCGATCTTATCTTGGCATGTGAGGTTACTAATACTTAGAAAGATAAAGCAAGGCTATGGTAAGCTTGATCAACAACTTGCCCATCTTCTTGAACTTATATATTCCATTTATGTATGTTCTCAAAAGGGAAAAGCAAGCTACCCGGAAAAGAATGTTGCCATTACTTCTCTTATTTGGTCATTATATATCTTAAAAAATTATTCCCGCAAAAATGAAATCCAAGTCGGATGTTGCTCTATATAGTCGTGTTACGTAGTTTTGGTCATTACTTGTTTCCTTCTACAAAAGATCTTAAAAGGGTGGGAATCGTTTCATACCTAGCTAGATTAGTACTTTAGCATGAATATCTAGCGAAACTCAAACGAATAAAGCACATGGTCCAATTACATAACTTTTTCTCGCTTCATCCTTTACACGTTATTTGATGATGGAATGAGAAAAAGAAAAATGGTGGTTGCCATAGAAATATAGTGAAATGACAAAAACAATAGAAAAATTGAAGAGGTCAAGGCCATGTTCATTGATGTGCACACCAAGTAGCTTTAAAAAGAAATTAATTTTTTTTTAACTAGATAGATCCATTGCGTATCATTAATTATCTAACAAGTAAAAGTAAGATCCATAAACTAAAAAATCATCTAAACTACAAAAAAGGTAATTATTATTGAGTATTTTTTTTCAAAATTAATTTTAATTCTTAAAAATTAATAATTCAGCTTTGTTTTGCTAATGGATCTATTACACATTATTAATTACCCTAAAACAAAAGTCAAATTCATAAATAATAAAATCATCTAAATTTCCTTAAAACTAACTATTATTAAAAAGAAAAATTATAATTAATTTTAATTCTAAAAAAAATGGAACGATCAACATTTTGATAATCAAAAATGGTAAAGAATGATAAAATTTACCAAAAACTAATATTTTAGAATCAAATAGTTCAAATTAACAAGTATAGACCTTATTTTATCACAACTCTAGTAGTTTGAAGATAAATTTTGCCATTATACTATATTTCAGCTTAATAATCAAAACATTGACTTTTAGAGATAATGGAAGAAGGATAATATTTGTTTAAAAAATAATAGTTTAAAATTCAAATAGCTTAAATTAATAG